GCTGTGTCTGACATAGAGGTGTCCCGTCTCTATGGCAGACACAGCGCCGGGGCTGCCGCTGTGTCCGACATAGGGCGGCTTTTGCCCACTTGCCTCACCAGCCATAAACCTTACCGCATGTCACTGGGGTCAACTTTATTTTTCCAAGGCAAAAGAAGAAATATTGGATGGAAGCTAATCAGGGAGAGAAGCAATCTGGAACTAAGGAGAAATTTCCTGACAGTGAGAACAATGCATGAATGGAATGGATTGCCTTTAGAAGTTGTGGATGCTCCATTGCTGGAGGGTTTTAACAAAAACTGGACATTCATTTGTCTGAAATGTTATAGGGTCTCCTCTTGAGCAGGGGGTTGGGCTAGAAGACCTCCAAGGTCTCTTCCAACTAAAGGAAGAGGAGAAGGGGAAGGAAGTCCAATTGAGATTTAAGGCATTCCATGAAACATTAAAATACCCATCTGAAAACTAGTCTAGACTTGAAATATAACGCAGGTGCATTTCCTGTTGCCCTCTGGGTTTCAGATCCCAGCATTTCCCTTGCCAGCCCATGAAAATGCTGGGAATGTGTCCAGGTTGATGTTCCTCACATGAAGATGCTGCTAGCTTTGCACCATTTGGAACTATAGGTACTCCTCAATTTACAACTGTTCATTTAGCAACCATTCCAAGTTACAAGAGCACTGAAAAAACAGTGACCTACAATCAGTCCTTGCACTTAAGCATCCCAGCATCCCTGTGGTCACATGATCGATTTGCCACATTCTCCATTTTCTTCTGACAAGCAAAGTTAATGGGGGAAGCCAGATTCGCTTAATGGCCTTGGATGATGATGATGATGATGATGATGATGATGATGATGATGATGATGATGATGATGATTATTATTTATTTATTTATTTATTTATTTATTTATTTATTTATTTATTTATTTAAAACCTGTGATTTGTTTAATGGCCAGGCAAATAAAAGAAGGTTGCAAAATCAAGCATGTCTCACTGAACCAACTTGCTTAGCAATGGAAATTTATGGTCCCAATTTGCTTCTAAATCAAGGATTATCTTTAATTTTGGTAGTAATCAGCGTAGATTTTTGTCCTGTAACCTCATTTTAGGGATGCGGAGGCTCAGTGGCTGAGACGCTGAGCTTATCGATCAGAAAGGTTAGCAGTTCAGTGGTTAAAATCCCTAGTGCCGCGTAATGGAGTGAGCTCTCATTACTTGTCCCAGCTTCTGCCAACCTAGCAGTTCGAAAGCACGTAAAAATGCAAGTAGAAAAATAGGGACCACCTTTGATGGGAAGGTAACTGTTCTGTGCGCCTCCGGCATTGAGTCATACCGGCCACATGACCACGGAGTCGTCTTCGGACAGCACTGGCTCTTTGGCTTTGAAACAGAGTTGAGCACCACCCCCTAGAGTCAGAAATGACTAGCACATATGTTCGAGGGGAACCTTCATCTTTATCTTTAACCCTATTTTAGTGTCTTACCACCAATATCTGCCAGGTAGTGGATTTCCAGTGGCATGACAACAGAATGACACACTCTGACCCTCTCTTCTGGCTTTGTTTCCTGGATGCATGGTCATGTATGGTTTTTCTAAAAGAGAAAAAGCATTAGAATCTTTCCTCAACAATTGGGACGGCCAGTTTGGCTTCCATCTGTATTTCATTCTGACTCATCTGGAAGAGTCTGGAAGATGGGCGTACGCTAACCTCAACCCCCTACAGAAACATGGACGTCAGTGCCTAGAATTCCCCCCCCCCGCACTGATGGTGGGATCATCTCTGTCTCTCTCTCTCTCTGTCTGTGTCTCTCCCTCTTTCCCTCCCTCCCCCCCTCTCTCTGTCTCTCTCTCTGTCTCTCTCTCCCTTTCTCTCTCTGCCTCCCTCCGCCCTCTCCCTCGCTTCCTCTCTGTCTCTCTCTCTCTGTCTCTGTGTGTGTCTCTCTCTCCCTCTCTCTCTCCCTCCCTCCCTCTCCCCTCTCCCTCCCTCCCTCCCTCTCTGTCTCTCTCTCTGTCTGTGTCTCTCTCTCTTTCCCTCCCTTCCCCCACTCTCTGTCTCTCTGTCTCTCTCTCTGTCTCTCTCTGTCTCTCTCTGTCTCCCTCCATCCCCCCTCTGTCTCCCTCCCTCCCTCTCTGTCTCTCTATCTGTGTGTGTGTGTGTCTCTCTCCCTCACTCCCCGCTTCTCTCCCTCCCTTTCTCTCTGTGTGTCTCTCCCTTTCTCTCTCTCTGTCTCTCTCTCTGTATCTCTCTCTCTGTCTCTCCCTCCCTCCCTCCCCCCCTCTCTCTGTCTCTCTGTCTCTCTCCCTCTCTCTGTCTCTCTCTGTCTCTTTCTCTGTCTCTCTCT